ATTATATAAGATTCTATTATATATTTCTTTGCATCTTCATGATAATATTTTTATTTAATTTTAATATAGTATATTTAATATAGTATATATTTGACAAAACGATTACAATTGATCAACAAATTGAAAAATACAAAGTATATTGTTACATATATATTGATATATGAAACTTACTTTTGCTGTCCAACAAAGGCTTTTCCAGTATCAATAGTCAGACTGCAATTTTTTAATACCTAAAGAAAAAAATTATAAAGTTGGTATATATGTCTGTTACACATATAGATGTATATTATAACATAATTATATGTAAAAATTACTCTTGTCATATTGTTATCATTAAATTGTCTACTATTTGCAATATTTGCATATTATTTAATCCATGTATTATATTAAGTGAAATCATTTTCGGGTAGTGCAAAAATTAAATTAATGATATACAAATGTCTATTTAAATAAGACAATTTATAATATTATAGTGTACCTTATCTAACTTTTGTTCTAGTAAATCCACATTCTTCTCCACCTCTTCGATGCATAATCTGTAAAATACATTTTTCACACAACACTTTGTCATTTATAATTTAGTGTAAATGTCATCTTAAATTAAAAAAATGTATTAAGCTCTAACTATCTAGAAACAATTAGTAACGGATAGTATTATAACCAGAAGAAAATCATTGAGGGATACAAATGCTATCTCTTTGTACGAAACAAATTGTGTCTATGTATGGAGGAAGAGGGGAAGGGAGAAATCTTACCGAAACTTGGGAGTATCCCGTAAGCATTCCTCGAATTCGATTAAAGGCTTCATTTTGTACTGTTGACTTTTCAAGATCTTGGAATGTAGCTTCGTCCGGTATACCGCGATCTCGAAATATTGTGCACGCGATATTTTCCATGAAACGATAAATTGGTTAGCAGTCTGGTGCGACTGATAAAAAATTAACACAAGACAAGAGCGTTTCCCACCATTCTCACTGCTCTGTCAAATCTTTCGTTTAACCTGCGTCAACGCTAACCTATACAGAGCAGAGCAGAGTGCAGTCCTGCAAGTCTGTTGTCTGCGTCATCTGCGTCACGGATGTAAGAAACACGCAAAACAATGACTCAAAGCGACCGGCGCGCGCATATTGTCACATGTGTGTGTGCGCGCGTGTGTATGCATAAATATCATACATACGTACATGCCGACGTATCACACGCGTATGCAGAAGAAAACACAAAACGAGGAAACACCAATAACGACTAGAGGCGCTAGAGTGGCCCAGCCTGCGCAGCCGGCATCGGCGGCCATCAGCTGATATCAAAATGTAAGCTATAATAAGCGGCACTGCCTTGAACATTGAAATGTTTGTATTCAGTTACTTGCGAGTGTCGCCAATAGATGGCACTCGTATGTTATTACGAACGAAGCGCGAAGTTGGCTGAAAATGCTGAACATTTCATCAAACCATTTACCTTATTACAAATTAAATTGACACGTAATTCGTATAAAATCAAACGTAACGTTATTAAATCAAGTTAAGAAACTTAACACTCCCCCTCCCCCCCCAATCTAATCATGCGTTATGCGAAATGTCTCGGTTCTCTGAACGTTACTACAGCCTTGGTCTATTATTATTACATATTCGGAAATGTAATCGCCGCCGCCGACGATGATTCTAACCGCAACTTTGAACGCATGTACAAATGGAAGAATTTACGAGAAGGCTTCCAAGAGGCGAAAATCTCCAGGAAACCGATATTTCTGCTGATCCACAAACCGGGCTGTCCGACTTGCGAGAAATTGAAGCCTCGATTCACCAATTCGATCAAAATCCTCAATCTAAGCCAGCAGTAAGTACTTTTTGCGCGGAACGTTACTACGTAAAAATATATATTTTTCCCTACTTTGCCGAGTTGACGGCATTTATTTGAACTTGAAACGCGCGGCGCGCACCAAGGCAATTCCTGTCACTAGATATGTCATATACCTAATATACATGTATCTAATTATCTATAAACGTGTCGCCGAAGGCTTACACAAGGCAAGATTCACGATTCTAATAATTACTATAGATATATATACATATATGTATATGTACACATATGTACAAGATACTATTGATGATAGCATCGATCTCGCATTAGCGTAAATGTCCAATCCAATCATACATTGTGTGTAAGCGAAATGTTCTTTACGAATTAAAGTAGTACACTCGCGAATTAAAAACAGTCAGAAATTTAATTCTCTTGAAATTGAAACTGTACATTGTACATTGACACGCTTGTGCAATTAATGAGATTGACCTTATACATATAATATCAATATACTAAGATATAAGCAATTAAAAATTGCACTTTTTATATGTATCAAATTTATACCTATACAAAGTTTATGAAAATGTCGCATTTACTTTTATGAACTCTAAACTAGTAATGATACGTTATCTAATAAAAAAAAAGACGAGCATGCGATAGAGAAATATAAAATGGATATTATGGAAAAAATGTCGTTATATTAATTTTTTACTGTTTTCGGAAAACAGAGTCGTAAAAAGAATACAAAAATTTATCAATGTGTTATGTAAATCAAAGGGAATCGATAATGATAAGTAAGGATCTAAGTAGAAGAATTGTAATTGTCGTAACACTTACTTTATTAGAGACTTAAGTTGTAGACGTATGTAACGCACAAGTTTTGGCATATGACATACGACTTATTGGATACACGGCAATAATAGATGAGCGGTTTATCTCAAAAAAGTCACTTAAAAAGTTCACCAACCAACGTTCTAGTAGCTAAAAATGATTTAATTCGATTCTTCATATTATTCTGCGAAAAAACATCTACACATATATACACTTAATTTTTGTGTGTGGTCATTAAATAGTTGTAAAAAATATTTTGTTTAAAAAATCTAAACTTGGAATAAAAATTTCGGAAAAATTCTAATAAGCTTAATTGGATTAAAATGAACAGTTTTTTGTCTCTGAGATTTTTTTGTGCAAATCAATAATTTTTGAGATAAAAAAATGTCTAAACTTGAAAGATGACTACTTTCATGATTTTTTTTTCTTCAAACGAAATATTCCATATTAGATCAAAATAAATTAAAATTCTTGTTATAGTTTAAGATTGGCCGAATATTTTCAATCTTTCCATCTATCCATACTGATTGGATGACTAGTTTTTCTAAGAAAAAAAAAATCATAAAAATAGTCATTTTCAAGTTTAGACATTTTTTTATCTCAAAAACTATTGATTTAAACAATAAGTCTCAGAGACCAAAAATGTCCATTTTAATCCAATTAAACTTATAGAATTTTTTAAACTTATGGAATTTTTATTCCAAGTTTAGACTTTTTAAACAAAAAATGTTTTATAAACTATTCAACGACCACATAAAAAAATTATGCGTATATAGATATTTTTCCGCAGAATAATATGACGAGTCGAATTAAATCATTTTCAGCCGCTAGAACGTTGATTGGTTAATAAACTGAAAACACGAGTAAACCGCTAGCCTATAAGTCATATGTCATCAATGTCATCATACGTCTAACGCCAAAGCTTGTGTATTACTTACGTCTACAACTTAAGGGTCCTCTACATAGAAGTTATAGATGGTCGCGTGGAGTCTCTTAAGTCGTAGGAAACCAACCAATTACAATCAAATATAAGGAGAATACTCGATTAGAATTGGTTAGTTTTCTACTTCTATGTAGAGGATCCTTTAAGTCTCTAATAAAGTAAGTGTTACGACAATTACAATTCTTGTGCTCAGACTCCAACCAAGCATGAGCTGCGTCTTAGTCTGCGTTTATTTGTATAATTCACATTTTTCCCGCGCGTAACCAAAAAGTTTCTCTCAGTGCATGCAGAAATGGGAATTGTATCATCACTGATACTCACTGATGGGACTCAACTTTTGAATGGTATTATCGCGAGTGTATGTATTATTATACTTTCTTAAACTTAACGTTGAAGAATACAATTAAATCGAGCGATAAATATAGGAAGGGAAAATGCACAAAAGATAACAAATAAAAGATAACAAAACGCATAAAGATTAGAAGGATACTATATGTACAATATAATATTAAATTGGTTGTATAAATTTTTTCGTGACGCAGTTTTGTTATGGTGAGTATGAAGAAAGATGAGATTTCCGCACAAGACGAAGCAAAATTTGAACCGGACGGAACCTATGTTCCAAGGATCCTCTTCTTCACTTCGGATGGCAAATTTATGAAAGATGTTTATAATCGTCATTCAAAAGCCAATGATAAATATAAATATTTCTACAATAATCCAAGTCAAATAATAGATAGTATGATTTTGGCATTGGAACTTTCTTCCGAAGAACGATACTCTTGACGATAAAACGGAGATGAAGAAGTAATACTCAACTTTTCAATCTGACTTTGTTGCTGTCATTACAATGATAGTTGGACGTAGCTGAAATAAATTTATTTTGTTACAAAAAATATAACACTTTCTTAAATTATAGTCAGAGGTGATATATTAAAATTGAACAGATACAAATAGAATGTTTTACTAATACATAAATAAAATTAATTAAATTATATTATAAAAAAAAGAAAGGAGGAAGGAGAGAGAGAGAGAGAGAGAGAGAGAGAAGGGATGAAATAAAATGAGCTTATTAAAAATGATTAAGAGAGTAAAGTAGTAATATGTAATAGAATAGATAATTTAAAATAAATCAACAGCTTCTCTCTCTCTCTCTCTCTCTCTCTCTCTCTCTCTCTCTCTCGCTATCTTATCTGTCTATTCATCTATCTTTCACAACTCACAGCGCGCGCATGTAACAAAGCTCTCTTACCCAGCATTCGAGTCTGCGCCTATACGTCATCAGATTCAGTACTGCGTCCAGTATACGGCTATACGGTAGCCTATAGCGCGATCGCAGAGGTAAGCATGACGGCGCTTGCGTTTGCAACAGTTGCCAGAAGGTAAAACGGCTTCGCATTGGTCGACGAGATCGTAGCTGAGAACGCAACCCCTCGAAACCACGCCCATCTCTCTTCCTTATTATAATATACGCGACTATTGAGTATATATTTACATAGATTATATATCTTAAATCTAAATAGTACTACCTTCCTAATGAGATATTTTTTTTTAATGGAAAAGTAAAGAAAACAGAAATAGCTGTGGTAAAATATATAATGCGCAAGTAATTTAAAATTGTATACATGCATATACATACATATCACATATTTATTATTTACGTACGTTCTTTCAAAAGGAACTGCAACCCTTTTGCATCAGACAAATATTTCTTAAGGCATTGTTCGATTAGTAAATAGGTGCCTTTCTAATTCTTTCTTCATTTTCTATGAACAAAAATTGTGTTTTTTTTTTCATAAGTCAATTCGAATTTTATCTTACTTGATACTTACTTAAATATATTGATACGCGTGTGACAACAAGTTATCGATAACCTTCTGCCAATTAATAAAATTTGATAATATAAGTCTGATAATTTTATGATTCTACAGTAGAACGAACTATACTTACGAGAGAGTTAATATTTATATAAAAGAGGCAGAAACGAAAGGAGAAAAAAGTAGAAAGTCTAGAGTAAAAAAAAAAGAAAGAGAAGAAAAAGAGTAAAATTGCGAATACTTAAAGTAGCTCGAGTAGAGAGTGGCTAGGGATTTCGCAGGACAAGTGGAGCTTACGCACACGTTATACGTTATATATGGATCTCTTCGCGGACGGTTCTGTATTTGAAGGGTTGCGGATAATATATAGCCCGTTTCGGCGGAGAGTGCTTTTTGGCTTTGACCGTTTCACATCCGGTGGCAGACCGGCCACGGCCGCGCCACGCCGCACCGCGTCGGGCTATCGCGTATAACGGTATAAGTTTTCTAATATCGGATCCAAGTGCGCGCGCGCGTGTGTGTGTGTGTGTGTGTGTGTGTGTCTGTCTGTCTCCACGTCCACACCCGCATCTATACCTCTACGTGCGTCCGTCACTTTTTTTTCCCCCGTAGAACTCCGACCACCATCCTACCGGCGCGGCGCGGCGGATGGACGGGGGCGGCTTTAAAAAATGAGCCAGGACATTATTTCTGCTCACCCCCTTCTGCACGGACTGACCAGTCCAGTCCCTTCCTCCCTTTCTCCCTCTCCCCTCCCAACGTCGTTTCCGCCGGTGCAGCTTGCGATGTGCTGCATCAGCGAATGTGCAAAAATGAAAAGAGAGAGTCCGACGGAGTCCGCGCGCGGAGGGGTAGGTAGATAGATCGGCGAGGAGAGATCGAGAGATCGAGATGGGAGAGTGGGAGGAGAAGAATTATACATATCTATCTCTCTCTCTCTCTCTCTCTCTCCCCCTCCCTCGCGCGTCTCTCACCGCCTGTCCGTTTCGGTATGCGCTCGTTTGGATATGCGCTCGGTGCGGATATCGCGGCGCGGCGGAAGAGCCACGGAGCCATTTTCAATTCAATCTGTTAAAAGCACGTCAAAAAAGTCATAGGTACGGTATTTCACATTTCACCAACGCAGCGCAGCGCAGCGCAGCGCAGCACAGTAGATCCCGACGAGATCGCGCGAGCTTCATCGCGATCCGACAGCGACCTGAATACAGGCGCGCGCCAATCCACCATGTATGGATCCACGTGGATGACCTCACGTATGCACCGATATATACTACTAGTGTGCTGATGTCGTCGCAGAATTATCAGCAAGATTAACCAGCATCGTTTGATACGCTTTAGAGTTTTTAGACTTTATTGTTAGTCTAAAACCTTGGACAAATTAAAGAGACAGCAGTTACCTGTTTAAAGAGACAGATCTGCGAGTTGTGCGACCAAAGTCTTCAAGGTGATCTTTCAAAAATGAGAAGACGTCATTTTAAATGTGTCGCTTGATTTAAAATCCATATAAAATCCATACAGTTTAAATAATTTCAAGTAAAAAACAGCTAATAAAATTTATAAACGTATCAACAATATTACCGCGTGTATACCTATACCTCGTACATATACTGTGTATTTATACTGTGTATATAAGAGGCGACATATTGTTATTAGGATTTACGTGAAACATTATATCGAAGTGATCTGTCGGATTCCCTCTCGATCGTATCGATCGTATCGATCGTATCGATCGTATCTATCGAGCAAACAGGTTACATGTACTGTTACAGCGCGGGCGATACGGTGACAATAAGAGCTAAGGATATAAGCTCTCAAGATCGAAGCGTCCGCGCGTCGTATATAACATAAGCAGTTTTTTACCTGCGCTTTTCTTCCATAGGCTTTTACGTGGCGACACCACGTAAAAGTAAATCTAATCTAATCTCCGATCGCGGCTGTTATTCGACCAACCTAACCGTCCGTACAGTGTCAGGGGTAAATTCGACGTTTGCAAACATCGTAATTCGATATTGCCGCGATTTCGATCTCGATCGTGCTATTTATTCCTCCAAGGGTGCACGCGATCCGCGGGAAATCTCGAGTGGGCGTAGGCGAACAATATATATAGTATTCCGTCGAGCAGATTAACTCGACTTGAACCTGCAAACGAGATAACTTTGGACGGATACTTTTCGAGGATACATTCAACGAGAGTAGGAAGAATTGAAGAATTCGTGGGAAAAAGATTTTACAACGAAACGTCGTAGTCGGTTATTATATAGTTTTCATCATTAAATGCCAGAGGAGCGCGACTTACAATTAATTGTGTAGCTGTAAATATACTACGTAATATGTACAATCATCAAATAAGACGCGCGCGTACTGCACGTATTGATTGTCAATTTGCTTTTTTATAAAATTGCAATCACAATTTTGCAATTGTTAAAATCGATTTCGTCAGGAGCTTAATTGGTTTAATCCTCTAGCCTGGAGGAAAGTGAACAACTTTTGATGGATAACGTTTTCATTCATTCACTTTATACGATTTCTCCGATTTTGCGTTTCGGATTTCGGGACGAAAAGTACATACATGATACTTAATGAACGGGCATGTATTGGCGAACCTATTGGTTTATTGATTTTCCCATCGGCATGTACGTTCACTTTGAGTGGCCGATGTGCGAGAGTAAAAAAGGTCCGTGTCTGTACTGTATATACATACATATATATATATATATAGATATACACCGACGTCAACGAACTCTCTTCTGTTTGGAATACATTTTTTATTATTGCTCAAATTTGCCGTCAAATGAAAAACGTTCTTTCCATGAGCATCATCGAAAAAAGTCACTTCCCGTCATTTCGCGATTGTATTATATTTATGCTTCCTGGTACACACACATACACACGCACACGCGCGCGCGCACACACACACACACCCACACCTACATATGCATACTTATACGTGACACTCTCGATGATGCTCGCAGCAGACGTATTCAATTTCATCGATTGCTAAATTACAATGTGGATAATTTGACCGAGCGGAAGGAGTTGGAGGTTGCGCGTGACACGTTATTACGTTACGATTTGCGACAAGTACAATTATTTAGCCACGATAATAATTCAGCGAGCCGCCCGTAAAAAGGGCGTATAGAAAATATGAAATATATTTGGTACGTGATGGACAATCGTGTTTTTTTTCACACTTTCGATCTTTCAGATCAAAGAATTTATTTAAGAGAAAAAAACCAATGGACTCGTTGACGATTCTGTGAATCTTTTTTGTCAAGTCCTTTCTTCTCATTGTCAATCTTGTTATTATTACTTGTATATACATGTACGTCCTTCTTATCGGAATAATCTTGGAAATTTATACATGTATGTATAACACATTCAGTAATATATCGAAGTAGATACTCATTCGAGCTAACTGCAGACACCACGAAAGCATTGTTACTTGTATTTTTCGAGCTTAAACGAAAGCTTGAATGCTCGGAAACGTGAGCAACTTTTGTACACTTTTGTACATTACGTATATCACGCGTGTTAGGGCTAGATAGGGTGAGGGTAAGTAGGTAGGTAGGTAGGTAGGGTAGGGTAGGTAGGTAGGTAGGTAGGAGGGTAGGAGGGTAGGTATAGAAACGTAGCGAGATACGGGATTCAAATCATAATGCGCACAATGCTTTTATTCTATTCTCATTGCGGGGTAAATAACATCTGTACATTAGATCACTATAAAATCGGCGCCATTGGTGAAACGACAATGGGGCTCTGCTCTCCTTCTCCCTCCTCTCTTCTCTATTCAAATCTCATTGTACAATATGATTCAAAGAAGACTCGTCGCGATGACGGTGTTGGTTGCGGTTTATAGACCGTATCCAACGAAAGAGATCGAATGGGAGAGAGGACTGGCGAAGGGGAAGAGAGGGAAGGCAACGGGCAGAAAGAGAGAGAGAGAGAGGGGGGGGAGGGGGAGACCGAAATAAGGAGTATGTACGAAAGAAGAAAAAGAAGGAAAAGAAAGAGAAGACACGTTTCTGGAAAGAGGAAGAGAACGAGAAAGGCGTGCGTGGTTAAGAACAGTCGGCTGAAACAAAAGGCGGAGCGTGGAGAAACGTCTGAGCATCGCTTCGCATTGTATTTTATGCTGGAACGGGTTTTAAATAAAAGAGTAATGTGTTTGTCCGTTGCCACCACCGCCACCACCGCCACCACTGCCGCCGCCGCCGCCGCCGCTGCTGCCGCCGCCACCGTCACCATCACCACTACCACCACAGCCATCACCACCACCGTTACCACTATCGTTACCGTCGCCGCCACTGCTACCGCCTCCTCCGCCTCCACCGTCACCACCACCACCAACACCATTATCATACCGACAACACCACCACCATTATAACGTCACCATCCCATCATCGTCACCACCATCATCAGCATCACCGTCGTACGGAAGATACACACGGTTGACTTGGGGGGTGAGTGGGCAAAGGTAGGTAGGTGGGTACGCGGCTAGGTATGTCCCCCTTTCACTCGACAGCAGATATAAACTCTTAACATCTCGGTTTGGTACAGCGCGAGCCTGCCAATCGGCGGACGGTGGAGGCGTGGCTGTGGCTCGGTGAGGCCTCGCGTTTGGCCGAGGTCTCGGGGTGGAACACTGTGGCACAGTGTTTTATTTCGCGCTCGCGTGGAGTATGGAGGGGATCGTTAGTTTCTGCCCTGTCTCCTCCCTCCCCGTGGAATTCGTCTCTCTCTCTCTCTCACTCTCTCTCGCTCGCTCGCTCGCGCGCGCGTTCTCGTCTCCCTAGTCCCTACCGTTAGGTAGAGGAGAACTGTGGCCCCGTTGAGCTCCCACTTTGCTGCCGCGCCGCATTACTACCGCCTCTCCTCCTCCGTCTATCCGCGCGCGCTACCTGAATCGACTCACCCGGGATGCTGCAATTGTTGACAATACCAGCGAGCGGGAGGGAGTGAGAGGGGGCGAGAGAGCGTGTATCACGGGATGCGATTCCGCATTTCGGCCCCCGGCAGCCGAACGAGAGGGTGTTGTTCTCCGTACGACTTTGCTGCCGCGTACCAACTTATGGAAGAGCAGGCGCGTGCGCGCGTCTACTATCGCAGGCGCCTATGCATTGCCATTGCTCCTGATTGCTCCTGCCGCGGACGGTCGTAACCAGTCGTAACCAGTCGTAACCAGTCGTAACCAGTCGTAACCAGTCGTAACCAGTCGTAACCAATCGTAATCAATCGTAATCAATCGTAATCAGTCGTAACGGTGGGAATTTTCATGCCATGTCTCGATGGTGGTGCGCGTAAGCCGTAAAGGGCCTGATCCGATCGTCTCCGCGATCGGGTCCTGATTGACGCGATCGCGACGGGTCGACGGGTGCACCCGCCGAGGAGGTATATATCGTATAGAGAGGTGTGGAGGCGCGGAGGCGTCCGTTTGCCCTCGACATGGGGATGAGTGTCATCGAGTACGCGGTTAAGATTTCGCGCCCGGCTCGTCGGATCATCCACGGTGCGCGGTGATCGCGTCCAGTGCAGTCTGGTGATCGCTGCAAGTGATCGCGCGCGGAGAGTAGTAGAGTACACATTGCCCTCGCCGAGAGCTTCTGTCGCCGCTCCTGTCGACGAGTGAGACGAGTGAGCCGAGTGAGCCGAGTGAGCCGAGTGAGCCGAGTGAGTCGAGTGAGCCGAGTGAACCACGTTAACGTCAACAACAGCTGTGTGATCATGTCTTTACCCCGCGGCGTCGGTCTTGGCGTCGACGTGGGCCAACTGATGCAACATCAGCAACAGCAACAGCAACATCACGTGCTGCCGGCCGCGTTCTTCCTGCGCGCCAGTGCCGAGAGGTATCAGCGGACCCCAAAGTGCGCGCGATGTCGTAATCACGGAGTCGTGTCCGCGCTCAAGGGACACAAGCGCTATTGCCGATGGCGAGATTGCGTCTGTGCCAAGTGCACCCTTATCGCTGAGAGACAACGCGTTATGGCTGCTCAGGTAAGATTTCCCTCTTACAATCTGCTCTACGTCGATGAATTTACCGTTTCATCTTTTAACGCGTCTCCAATTTTTCTCTTTTTCGAAAAAGGAAGAGGTTTGTTTTTAAATTTTAAATCATTTCGCAATGAACGCAAACTTTTTCTATCTGGGATTTTACTTGCAGACTTGAAAACAAATTATCGCAAAAGTGCAGGATTATAATTCCGGCATGTAATTTTAGTTATTTTGAAGAAATACTAAGAAGAACGTCTTAGTAGACCATTAATTGTGATAATTTTCATTATTGCGATTAAATATAAAAGGAATTTTTAGCTGTAGCGCAACGCTTATTTTAATTTCCAGAGAGAGAGAGAGAGAGAGAGAGAGAGAGAGAGAGAAATATATATAAATTTGTATTTTTTTATAAATGAGAAAAATACAAGAAATTGCCACGAATAAGATGACGATAATTTTACGAAATATTGAGAAAGATACTTGATCTCACAATTCCGCTAGAATCTTAAATCTTATCTGTTGGGATTGTGGTTTGTTTCTTAAATTTCTGTAAAAAAATGTAACAAGATATGTCATAGAGCATACATTACCTACCTTCTTATTTCAAAAGCGACATAATTTAAAAATCATGATTCAATTATTATAAATAAGTTAAGTAAGTATTATCCTATCGATCATTTAAAATTTATTAACGTAACTTTAATAATTATTAAATCTCATGCAGAAAAGATGATTTCTTAAGGGTCGTGATAGACTAGAATGACAAAAATAATGTTTGGTCATGTTAAAAACATTTTTCTTATAAAATATTATTTGATTAATTGAATATTTTTCTGTCAAGTTTATTCTTTTTCTGTAAAACTTGATGTTTTGAGTTGTGTTTTACTTTTTAAGTAAGAGAATAACATGTATTTGAAAGATTTCATAGTCATCGTAATGACGGGTGAATAGAGTTGAAGAATTGGCAAAAGTATTGATAAAAAAGTTTAATTTAATTTTTTTAATTTAATTTTTATTTCCATTTTTGGAACATTAATTTATAATTTTAAATCATCTCTCTCCAGTATTTTGTTCCTCTTTGCATTGTGTTGTTAATAAATACGTACATTATTATATTTATATTCTATTTTCCTTTACAAGCTATATTACTGACAGAGATTTGTAGATGCAAGTATTAATATATAGTCGGTAAATCATGGATACAATTACTAAATCAGTGGGGGGAGGGGGGGGGGAGAAAAAAAGAAAGAGATCGAAGAGTGAATTTTAATACTATACAGTATACATATACGTAAGAAGTACGTTTTGAGTGCCGTTGATATGATCGCGGTTTATAAAATCGACCCAGTTCGATTTTGCTTAAATAAAGCAAATCTTTTTGCAAACATCTTTTTGCTAACTTTCTCTAACAGAACGATCACAATATGCAATTGTGATTTTTTCACGTATTTGTAAAGTGCGTGTGCATGTATGAGAGAGAGAGAGAGAGAGAGAGAGAGGCAGAGAAAAATTCTAGTGTAATACTTGTAATTTCAATTACATTTTTTTTTTATTTATTAGAGATTACGATACTTGAAAGTAAATAATGTTACGATATTTTCTATTTACGGAATATGAGAGTATTGAATAACACGCAATGTATGGATATTGCTTATTATATGTATAGAAACATTTTTTGCGACAACTCAATTGGTATCGCTTAATGAATATATTAGGTAATTTTACACAGAGAGAGAGAGAGAGAGAGAGAGAGAGAGAGAGAAAGAGACGACAATGTACGAGTATGTGATCGTTGTCGATCAGCGAGGAACAAACACACTGTTTCAGGTTGCGCTGAGACGGCAACAGGCCCAGGAAGAGAGCGAGGCGCGCGAGTTGGGCCTGCAATTGCAATACAATGCCGGCAGCTGCAATACTGCCCCGGTTCTACCGGCGAGCGCTGGTACGACGCCAGCTGGTAGTCCGCCCCCGCACCCAGCCGCGGCCGCGGCCGCGGCGCACGTAGCGAGTCCGACGGGTATCGCGATACCCGCGGCGGCCGCGGCGGCCGCCGCTGCCGCTGCCGTGCATATTCAGACGCAACTTCAGCATCAGCCTGCTGAATGTGCAGCTCTCCTACCTACGAGGAAGAGATCCACCCAAGATGAATATCGGCAGTCCAAGGTGGAAAAGGGCGATGCTGTTATCGGTAAGTTCAATCAAATTGTTGTTTTATATGTAAATATGTGTATTATCTATAGTTTGATTTTTTTGCAAACAAAAAAGAGATCATCCTTTAATTTATTAGGCGCTGACCTTTCCTTTTTTGTACTATAAACTCTCTCATCAAACAATTATATTACAATATATTAAATCTTCCTAATTAATACGTATACCTCTAACTGTAATGAAATATATAACATGCAGACACGCCTTTAAAACGTACAATATATTCGTATTCATATTCATATATATATATATTGTAACTATTACTTACTGCAGCCGGCAGCGCAATTCCCTGCCAAAGCAATAAGCGAATTTAGCGTGTAAGCATAGTATCTTCATCCATCTCCGATTTGGACGCAATTCGGACCGGGCACTTTGAAAGTCGAGAAGGAAGTTGTAGAGTATCGCTATTTATATAGTAAAAGCTCGACATACACGGGGGCAATAATAAACGGTGGCACGCGACTAAGAAGCGGGCGCGCATGTGCACACGCGTGAGTTGCGGACGAGTGCCCATTAAGAACGTGCGTACCACGCCTTAAGTAGGGCAAGTGGCCGCAGGCCATAATGTTGTTAAGTAAATAATGGTCACAAGCTTGCGCGGGCCCTTATTATACTCGAATGCCACTCGAAACGAAAGTCGTACTCGTTAGTACGACGGCCTTTAATTCTCTCCGTTCATTCGCGCTCGACCCTTTCGTTCTCCTTTCGCCAACTTTTTTTCCAGAACGACGACTCGTTCTCGCACTGTAAGTCACACTGTAAAGTATAAACGAGATGCACGCGTTTACGTTTACATTCTCAACATTATACTACACACACACACACACACACA